TATTCTTATGTTACATTAATTTATTGCAATCCCATTATTCTTATGTTGCATTAATTTATTGCAATCCCATTATTCTTATGTTACATTAATTTATTGCAATCCCATTATTCTTATGTTGCATTAATTTATTGCAATCCCATTATTCTTATGTTGCATTAATTTATTGCAATCCAATTATTCTTATGTTGCATTAATTTATTGCAATCCCATTATTCTTATGTTGCATTAATTTATTGCAATCCCATTATTCTTATGTTACATTAATTTATTGCAATCCCATTATTCTTATGTTGCATTAATTTATTGCAATCCCATTATTCTTATGTTACATTAATTTATTGCAATCCCATTATTCTTATGTTGCATTAATTTATTGCAATCCCTTTATTCTTATGTTACATTAATTTATTGCAATCCCATTATTCTTATGTTGCATTAATTTATTGCAATCCCATTATTCTTATGTTACATTAATTTATTGCAATCCCATTTTTCTTATGTTGCATTAATTTATTGCAATCCCATTATTCTTATGTTACATTAATTTATTGCAATCCCATTATTCTTATGTTGCATTAATTTATTGCAATCCCATTATTCTTATTTTACATTAATTTATTGCAATCCCATTATTCTTATGTTGCATTAATTTATTGCAATCCCATTATTCTTATGTTACATTAATTTATTGCAATCCCATTATTCTTATGTTGCATTAATTTATTGCAATCCCATTATTCTTATGTTTACATTAATTTATTGCAATCCCATTATTCTTATGTTGCATTAATTTATTGCAATCCCATTATTCTTATGTTACATTAATTTATTGCAATCCCATTATTCTTATGTTGCATTAATTTATTGCAATCCCATTATTCTTATGTTACATTAATTTATTGCAATCCCATTATTCTTATGTTGCATTAATTTATTGCAATCCCATTATTCTTATGTTACATTAATTTATTGCAATCCCATTATTCTTATGTTGCATTAATTTATTGCAATCCCATTATTCTTATGTTACATTAATTTATTGCAGTCGTAGTGTGGGTTTAGGAGCCCTTTTAGGGAGAAAACAAGAGCGCACCCACCGGTTCTCCCAACTACCATAACGTAAGAGTCGACTAACTGGGTGTCTTATTTTAAGTCAAATTCCATCTACCTGAGAAGCAAGCAACCAACAGTCTCCATAAAAATTTGTCAGATTTGTAAAACGGATGTGCACACTGCACTTAGGTTCTAGAACATGTTCAAAGTTCAGAGGTAGATAAACGTAAAGAAGAAGAAGAAGAAGAATTTATTGTATCCAATTCATGGTATCCAAACTTCTGCTCTTTCTTGTCCCATGATTGCATGCTGTTGTTTGCGTTCTCCTGCTGTAAATCCGGCGGAAAGAACTGGTTGTTCGTCCATTTCTTTACTTTGCCTTTGTTCCGGGACCTAAGTTTGGCGTGTTTTACA